TATGATTAAAAGTCGTCAAAATTACTATTAAATAATGTATTTTGTTAAAAAAAAAAATAGAGCTCAAACAAGAACTTTATATAAACTATAAAAGTTAAGAGAAGTTCACAACTAACAACCCTATAAAAGTTCATCACTTACAAAAAGTCTACGAAAGCATTTGAAAAACTAAATTAAATGCACCCCTTAATCTCTAATAATACAGTATAAAAATCCTAACTAAATTATTTGCCTCAAGTGAGCTCAAACCTGTATAAATTAGTCGGTTTCCATATATTATATTCAAAATAAAAAGAAATTTGATGCAACAATGTGTAATTTTTTATTGTCTCGTACATCAAATCACTAACAATCACATATATATCACTTAAGACAACTACAATAATTAACGACTGCAAATATCATTATTCTAAAAATTAAGCAGTGTGCAGCTTCTATGGTGTTGTTTCTAGTGTTTACTTTCCTCGAATAATGCTATTTACAATTGCTTATTATCGTAGTCGCCCCTACTGGCATACATGTAGGGATGTCAATGGGTCAGGTCGAGTCGGCTCAGCCCGCAACCTCATGAGCTCGGCTCGCGCTCGCACTCATGGCTCATTTCGAACGAGCTAAGCTTGAGCTCGGCTCGTTCATTTTGGGCAAGCTCGGCTCGGTCCACAAGCTCGTGGCTCGTCCGAGCTCGTGAACCTAGCCGAGCTTTGGCTCGCGAGCTCGTCAATTTTTTTTTTAAATACAAAAAAATACAAATAATTTAATGAAGACACTTTTTTAAAAAAAAATAAAAAGTATTAAAAAAACACAAATAATTTAATTCATTTTTAAAAAATAATTTAATGAAGAGACTTTTTTTTTTAATTTCTATCATATTGTAATATTTTTTCATAAAGTATAAAATATTTATGTAATGAAAACGAATTATTTTTTGAAGTACATTTACAAAAAATACATTTTTTTATTTCTTTTTAAAGCAGATAAAATGTAAACCCTCCTCCTTTATTCGGGTTTGGGATCGACTACATCAATTTTGAGTAGGCGGAGTTAAAAATTGTACACGAACAACTTGTTGTAACTATACACTTTTTAAAGAAAATTAAATTTAACAATTAAAAAATAAGAAATTTTGATTAATATAATTAAATCAAATATCGCTTACCCGACGACATGCAATTTCAACGTATTTATCTTGTAGTCGAAAATGAACGTCCTGCAATCCTTTACGCACATTAACGCTTCCAAAACATCGATCAAAACTCTTTTACCTGCACTAAAAGCAGACTTCGAAACAACAGTGCTAACCGGAGGTATCAGCAAATCTTCGCAATTACAGAAACAATTGGCCAGCGTCTTTCATACTTTCGCTAAAATTCAATTACTTTTTTTGAACTTTTTTTAATTGTTCTGTTTGTTAGTATATTATGATTGAAGTAATCAATTAATTCGGCAGACATCACATTTTGAGTTAAGGCCGATGTTTGATGAGATGCAAGTGTAGACGACATGTCACTAGATGAACACATTGCAATTGCACCATATCTAAATGTATTAATGTCTTAAAATAAATTCATTATTTCGACATCATCATCTTCAATTTCAGTCGTTTGACATCCCTACATACATGAGGTGATTAATGATTTAATGCATAAGACAATAAAAAAAATTACCACATTAATGTATCAAAGTATTAAACGTCAAATGTACATTATGTAAAACAATTATGACAGCGAGCGACTGCAAATAGCATTACTCTACTTTTCCTCCTAAAATTGGTTTATTTGGTGGGTAATTTTGCCAAAAGCATAATTTTTATTTGAAAATAAAACCCCATTAGTGTAAGAATGGAAAGTAAGTAAAGGATTTATAATTCATTGATTTGAAAAGGAAATTCTTAACACCTTCAAGTCAATCTTTCTTATTTACTCAAAAGGTAGTCGAGTAAGTCGCCATTTTTTGGATTTTTGAAGATTTATTCCGGTTCTTTTTTTTAAGTGGACTGTGGTATCATGGTGACGACTTACTTGGCTACCCAGTCATTATTGGTTGAACATAACATATAAACACGTGAACACTTAAGTGCAAAGTCGATGTGGGACAATGTCGACGATGGGTATCAAGTCATTGTGTTGGAAGGATCTCCCCCTTCAATTCTTCCATCGCGTACAGCCTTTCTCACTTTGCTTTTGATTGATTGATACTAGTTAAGCGAGAAAACATATCATAATATTTTAATGACCACTCACTATTTTATGAATGTCATTTGTTTCTTATATCCGCACTATAATTTCCATTTTCTATTTATAATTTGAGACCACGTCAAGTTTCAATCAACGAATATTGTATAGGACCGGGGATTTTTTCTTAAACTAGAACAATTAATCGTCCGATGGATTGATATTACCATAGTTTATCAGTTCTTGAAAGTAATACTAAAAAAGTTTGAAAAACTGTGTTTCAAAGTACCTAAATAGAGTAGTGTAATCTTGTCCTTTCCTATGTGGACCATGGCCTCGATGAGTTTGAGTCCTTGAATCATTTGTACTGTTGTACATGAACTCTGTTCAGTTTGGAGTTGCCTAATTTTTATTTTTATTCCCGAGTCTATTATAAACTTGTTGGCTTTGCTTGGACGTAAAAAGAAGGTAGATTCTAGTTACTTGTTTCATGAGCATCTACGGCTACACTTTCTGTGGTTAGAATCAAAGGTTCTGGGTTTCCATAAACCATTTTTACTATTTTTTCAATTCACTCTTTTCTTACTAAAACAGAAAAGGAAGGATGAAACACACAATTTTACTGTATTTGAACTTGGAATGACTATATTTTTAATTAATTACTGGTATTAAAATACTAACGAATTTGCAATCAGTTCTCTGTAGGATTGATAATAGATTGGTTTCTTGTATTCGAAGGTTAGATACCTCCATCCCGAATACTCCGGCAGACAAAATGCTCTGCTTATTGTAAGTAATATGATTGGGACAGCGAATATGGTCCATGCCCGATTATTATTTATATTTTATTTTATATGTTATTTTAAGAATTAAAAATAAATAAGTAAAATGAAAGATTAAAGAAATATTTTATTTTCGTCCTGCTTGAATCTTGTCTCGCCCTCTCTCTCCACCCACCATCCTCAAATTCCCCACGGGGTGAAGGACGGAGAAGGTCATCCTGTCTTAGTGCTATCTCTAGTAGGAGAAACTTTTTAATGTTACTCAAACACGGAATTTAGTACTCTCCTCCAATGTTTACTTGACGTATATTATTCATTCATTATCTCCAGGTAAAAGTAGGTCCAAATTTAATAGACATGTCAACCAAATAGTAAAGGAGAGTATTGAATAGTTCATACTCTGAGAGTATAAGAAATTTTTCACTATTTGAAAGACACTATAGGAGTTATGTAATTTATATTACAATTTCCAGAAATTTCGGAGCTAAAAGCAAGAGAGAACATGGTTTGATTTGAGCAGGTTGTGACAATTTTTCAAGCCAAACAATTTAAAGCTTTCAAACCAAAGAAAAACACTTCAATTTCTAAACAAAATCAATCCAAACCACTTTTTGGTTTGGTTCGATTTAAAACCATGATGTAACAAAAAAAAAATATATAACATATATCAAAAAGTTCAACAATAAATATTAGTCTAAAATTTCATGTTAAAACATAAATAATATCATTAAAATATTACAATTTAAAGTTCTATAATTCTAATCATTACAATGTGACAACATGATTGAATCATTTTAACGTCTTATTCATAACTAATTGACGCATCATCTGCAATAGTAATACGTGATTCATTCTCTCCATAAAGAGAATAATATAATAAATAAATTAACCGATTACATTTAAATGATATAAAGCAACTAATAAAAGAAAAATGAATAGAAAGATAAAATACGATAAATACCCTATATAACTTTTTATGAATCATTTGATGCTTCTACTTCGTCCAAATATTGACGAATCATTATAGGTTCCTTGTCACTTTGCAACCAATTTTTAAGGCAAATCTCCACATCAACCATATTTGCATTCAACGAACTTATGAAGAAATCTAGAATTAGACCACTAATAGAGAATGTAGGCCTAAAAACAACTGTAATATTTAATGGCTAACACAACTATAACAATTTTAGAGGATAATCTTGTATTTCTTTGCATTCAATTTTCGCAAAATCAATATGTCAAAAGAATCATTGATCAAATCTTCAAAATGACCATTTAAATTATCCACCAATTCATTCTAACAATTAGCACTAGAACCTAAAAATTAAGTTAAAATATAAATAATTTGTTGAATGACCTGGTTAGGAAATTGAATGCAAATAAACCAAAAAATTGATGTTTGCTAAACATTTAAGGGAGATCAACTCAAATTAAAACAAAAGCAAATAATTACCAAAAAAACAAAAAAAAAATAAAATTGGATAAACTAACTTGGAAATTTAGTCGAAATTCAAGAAAACTATTAGTAGAAGGAAAAAAATGTGCGTCTTTGAATTAAAATCTAGATTTTGTCTACTCAATTGTAATGAGTGGTCAATTAATATGGTTCAGTAATAGTTGTTCACCACTTCACCAATTTGAGGGTTTTGTATTCACAGTTTTGACTATTTATGGGAATTTGGGTATGTTTTAATGAATTAATTCGAATGGATATTTGCTTATTTAGGTATTGAATTTAATTGGGTTGTATTTACTATGAATGTATCTTTTTTTACTAAGATGTATTTAGTTTTGATTGGTTTTAATATAATTTGAATTAATTTATTTTCATAATTCATTTGTAAACAGGTTGGCAGAGAAATAATTTGAAAATATTGAAATCTAAATCAAATCCCTTCGAAGCAACTTATTTCGATTCAAAATTAAAATGACAACCAATCCACGTGGATCCAAACTAATGATTTTTAAAAAGTGGTTACAATTCAATTTTACGATTTGGCAATTTCGATATTCAACCTGGCTAGAAGGAAAGTACTTTTGGAATTCTTCAATAAGCTAAGAAGGGTATAACTGAGAATTCAGGTCAAACCTGCCATAAACTTGTTAATGAAACCCTGGAGGCACCGCTGGTTCTGTACAACCACTCTTATTTGGCACTGCTCCGCCGCATCATTCCCCGACGCCAATGAATTGTACCATCTCCACTGTAAGCGCACTTAGTTATTAATCATAATTAAATAATTCTGATCGTTATTTTACTAGGGGCTTAATTTAGCTAAGGTTGGACGAAGAATGATTATCTTTTGAAATGTATTCGAGTCTGAGGCTCTGGGATTAATCTGTTGTATGTTAGGGTTTTTCTACTGATTGTATCATTATGTGTGATTAATTATTCAATTAAGAGTATTTTGTAAGTATTATGCACAATTGAACAATGAACAGTGTTAAATTTCTTCCAATTGCGGCTGAAACGAAACTCTTGTCAGGCAGAGCTTGTTCAGATGCACATACCAATTATTTTTTCGTGGCAGGATCTTCCTTGTGGTAATAAAATTATGGAAATTGGAAAAAAAAAATGGTTTTGTGAAATTTAATAAGTTATAAATATGACCTCTAAGGTTAGAATTGGTAGTCTGTGTATCATTGTTGTATGATCATTAAGGATACCAATGAGGGAAATGGGAGCTCTATACATAGCTTGTAATTTAATCTCGACTATGGTGCCATCAACTTTCCCCTATAAAACATCACCAAGCTTATGCACAACCAGGTTCCATCACCTTCTTCCTGCAGCAAAGGATACTCTCTTGACTGCTTTGAAACTTCCCCAGCCTGCTTCCTTAGTGTGGTTTGTCTATGCTGAATAACCGGCATTATTCTCTTATTACTTTCCTAACATTTAACACTGGTTTGGGCTCCATTTTCTAAAATTCATTTTTCTTCAAACTCATTTTCAGTCACACATTTCATGGTACCAGCAACTTTTATCAACTTCTCAACCACACATTTCATCAATTTTTTATCAAAATCTACTAAAATGTATTGTTAGCAAAACCAAACAAGGGCTTAATTCTGTTAGAGAATTTATTTGCCATGCAATTATCATGAAATAAAATTCTGTTTACTCTCTTTCCTTATTGAAGTGTACAATATTTTATTGGAACGTAAATGAAGAGGATTTCTTGTTTTCACCTTTTTGCTGTTTAGTTTCCCCCTCATAGGTTAAGTGTTGATCTTCGACCAAAACTAACATAGTTTGTTGTGATTGTTAAGGTTTTACTCGCTTTAGATCTTCCAGCTAATCCTAGTCATGAATTCAACAGATTGGCGAAATTGAGTTCGTGTAGCTGACTTCAAATTTGTAGTTTGTTGTATGTTGAAAGCTATTAGCCAGATTCAACTTCCATTTATCCTCTTAAATTGGCATTATGTGTTGTTACTTTTTTTCTCCTTATGGACTTGCTAGCTGATCTATTTTCCCGTGTCGATAAATTAAGCCTAAATTATCTAGTGCCGGCAAACAGGCTGACTAACTCACGTGTCTGATTTATTTTTAGAAGCAAAGCTAAGCCTCTTTATTTTTGTTTCCATATTAAATTCTGATGTCATCTCATTTAGTACTCACCGGTTCTTATTTTCCATTTTTGTTTCATCTCGACTAGATGGATGAAGTTTCCCTCAATAGAGAACCTGTATATGATGATGAGGTCGAGGAATTTGAGATTGATGGAGAATGCGCAATGACTGAGTATGTTGGCCAGAATGGTAATGTTATGCAGGGAGAGAATCCTTTGCCTCCATCTGTTGGAATGGAATTTGAGTCCTATGATGATGTTTATTACTTCTATAATTGTTACGCAAAAGAACAAGGGTTTGGTGTCCGGGTGAGTAATACTTGGTATAGAAAGAGCAAGGAAAAATATCGAGGGAAATTAAGTTGCAGCAGTGCAGGTTTCAAGAAGAAAAGCGAGGCCAATCGGCCGAGACCTGAAACTCGGACTGGCTGTCCTGCAATGATAAAGTACAGGTTGATGGAGAATAAGAGGTGGAGAATTATAGAGGTTGAGCTGGACCATAATCATTTAATGAATCCAATAAGTGGGAAATTTTATAAATCTCATAGGATGATGGGTCTTGGAAGTAAACGACCTTTGCTGATGGATAATGCTGACGAAGTTCCAAACATCAGGCTGTTTAGGACAGTCGTCATTGATTCAGAAGATAGCGGGATCTTAAATTTTGACGAAGGTGTATTGAGGAATGATGTTGATCTGCCGAACAACCAATTGAACCTTAAACCAGGGGATGCACAAGAAATGTTGAACTTTTTTGCTCATATGCAGTTAATGGATCCAAATTTCTTCTACGTAATGGATCTCGATGAGAAAGGCCACTTGCGGAATGTGTTTTGGGCTGAAGCAAGGTGCAGGGCTGCGTATGGTTATTTTGGAGATGTGATGATGATTGACACGAGAAGTTTGTCGGACAAATACGAGGTGCCACTGCTGGTATTTACTGGCATCAATCATCATGGACAGTCTGTGTTATTCGGCTGTGGTTTAGTGGCAAACGACGCTATAGATTCATTTATATGGCTCTTTAGGGCATGGATTACATATATGGTTGGACGACCTCCACAGACTATCATTACTGACCAAAGTAAATCTTTGAAAAATGCTGTTATGGAAGTTTTTCCTAGAGCTTTTCATGGTTTTTCTTTGCCTAATATTATGAAGAAGGTTCCGGATGAACTGGAAGGATTGCAGGAATATGATTCAATAAGAATGGCATTTACTAGTGCGGTTTATCATTCACTGAGAGCAGATGAGTTTGAAGCATCTTGGAACGAGATGGTGCGGCGACATGGGATGGGGGACCATAAATGGCTTCAAGCATTATACGAAGACCGTAAGCAGTGGGCCCCGGTCTATTTGAAGGAGACCTTTTTCGCTGGAGCGTTTCCTTTGAAACAGGACGAGAGTTTGGCTTCTCCTTTTGAAGGATACCTGGATCGACAAACTTCTATAAAAGATTTTCTTAATAGCTACGATAAAGCTGTGCAGGAAGCTTACAAAAGAGAAGCACTGTGTGATTTAGAATCCATGAACTCCAGTTGCGTAATAAAGTCGAGATTTTATTTTGAGTTGCAGCTATCAAAATTGTACACGAACGACATAATGAAGAAGTTTCAAGATGAAATAGAGGGAATGTACTCTAGTTACAGCACAAGACAAATAAATATAGACGGCCCAGTTGTGACTTACCTTGTTAAGGAAGACATTCAAGTCGAGGAAAACTCGAGGGTGACTAGAAATTACGAGGTCACATACAATACTTCCGCTGCAGAGGTTATTTGTTTGTGCGGATTATTCAATTTCAAGGGTTATTTGTGCAGGCATGCGTTGAGTGTCATCAGCCAAATTGGTTTAGAGGAGATTCCACCACAGTACATTCTTACACGATGGCGAAAGGACATTAAGCGTGCCTATATTTACGACTATGGAAGGAACGGTATTGATATCAATAGCCCTGTTCATAGATATGATAATTTGTATAAAAGTGTTGTGAAGGTTGCAGAGGCAGGGAGGAAATCATATGATAGATACAAGTTTACGTTGCAAGCTCTGAATGAGATACTCAACAAGGTTCATCTCCAAGAGGATTATCTATAACTCATTGTAAGTATTGCAATTTATACAGTAAATAAACACTGTTTATTTTGTTACAGAGTAATCACTACTACTGAAGTCGCTTTTTGTTTGAATTTGAGTGTCACTCAGTTATAATCTATTATTTTTCTAACAGAATGTTTGTCATGGGAGATGTCCCCGTTGATGCCACCATCTTCCATCCCCAGATATTTCATTAGAAAAACTAACGGATTTTAATTGAGTGGCTAATATGAACTTAAAACAAACTTGTTGTCCAATTTGGACTAAGATAAAGTTAACGTCGTCATAAAATGAGGGACTTAAACTCCTTCCTTGTAATTCCATAATTGAACTGGCCGATGTTATAAGTATGGCTAGTAAATCGAGCAATCTTCGTTTGGCTGTCCCTTAAGCTCCATCAGATTTCTCGCTCTCTCTTCTGATGAACTATCTAATAAGAATAGACGAAAGTTTAAAGGCGGTGGCCGAATCTTGCTTAAGCTTGAATTAGGGTGGTTCCCCATCTCTGACTCTGAGTTTCCTTGGTTTCCTTGGTTTAGTTTACACAGTATCCTTGATCATGTACCAAAGTGCCCAATTCGAGAGCTTGTATTAGATGACGTACATTCTTTTAAAAATGTTACAATAGTATGATAATTGTCAATTAACTTTATTTTTTTTTTTTTTTTTTTTTTTTTTTTTTTTTTTTTTNGGGACGTTTTGTGTCAATTACCCTAAATATAACCCTAAAACCAATTAAGAATCAATAGATCGTAAGCAAATTTTAAGTAAAATGAGAAAAAGATCAGATAAGATTAATTAAATTTTGTGAATATTGTGGATGTGTTGAAAGGTTGTGTGAGTGTGTATTAAGTCTCGGAAAAATTGTCATACTCCAATTAATGTCCAAACTTGGGCAAGCTTTGTTGTTTTCTTCCTTGAATTTCACATATCTTTTCGATTTCTTGGTTTTAATTTTTTTTTCTTAAATATAATCAAAGCATTTCGAGAGTATCGCTACGACAAAATCATTGACCTGGGACAAATCAACCATTAGATATTTACACTTTGGCCCACTTACTTTGGATTTGCTTCATTTAACCATTTTTCGCTCTTTTTTTCAATTCTTCTTTAAAACATGAACTTTTCCTAATAAAAGTAATAAATAACAAATCAGGTACTAATCCGTTCAAATAATAACAAAATATCATTATTTAAGATCCCAAATAAGTGTAGAAACTACACTTATCAAACCCCCAAACTTGAATCTTTGTTTGTCCTCAAACAAAACTAAAATCCAGCAAACACACAAACATACAGTGCTAATTACCTAATTGATGGCCAGTCAATCAAGCAATGTAAAAGGATTTAGCTAGCTAAACTGGCTTTTTATCTCAGGATTGAAATCATAAAATTAAATCCATGCACAGCTTCAAAATCACAATACAGAAATTAAAATCTATTTTTCCAAATGTAAAATTGACGTGTGTGTGTGTGTGTGTGGAGAATTAAGCATAGCATCATGATTTCACAAGTAGTTTCAATTCTCGACCCTCAATGGTCAAATATGTCCTTTCATTACTCGAAAAACTCACATACTCCCAAACTTATTCTTTTTGTTATTTTCAAATGTGTGACCTAAGGTTGAATTTTTATACCATCCCCACCTCTCTAGTTTAAGTAAATCTCACTATCTGTAAGTCGATATATGAATAAATAAAGATTCTCCATAATTTGATTGCTTCAATCTCCAGAACTCAACGGGGCTAATAATCCTTTATCAAAAGTCAATTTTCTTAAACAAGTGTTTGGGACTTAATCAAGGCATCCAGTGCGTATTCTGTTTCATGCACCAATTTTTTCCTTCTCTTTTTTTTTTTTTCAATTTTTATTTAAACATTTTTTTTTTGCAGCATTCTCTCCCTTAAACTTTCTAAATGACCCCTTAAGCGAGGTTTAGGCCGATGACTCCGAAGTCAGTTGAGTTTAGGGCACCAGGTTTTAACAACCTTACAGGTTTAATAACTTGAGTCATAAAGGCTACAAAGAGAAATTTTCAAATAAAATAATTTTTTTTTATACCTTGATTAGTGCAATATCCCTTATTAAACACTCATCCAAGTAAACCAACTTCTAACTTGAGACTTTTACCAAATTTCATCCTATTGACCTTAGACAATCCACACAAGATTTTTTTTTTTTTTTTGGTTTCACACATGGAATCTCTATTTATCTCAAAATCTTTTTATAACAGTGAAATCCTCCAAACTATTCTAAATTTGGTCTAAGGATGTAAAATATAGTCGTTTTTGGTTTAGCATCTATGGTCCGTTATTTCAACCTATCCAATTATGAAATCAACTCATTCTTACACAATGCTTAACTTAATTCATGTGCTAAATATATATCAACTTCACATGGAAAAGTAAAAATTAACTTAAGTATGCAACCTATTCACCATTCATAGATCAATTCATAATTCAATATATACATTATTACCAGCCAGGTTAACTAACTCACATAAGCACAAAAAAAGAAAATATTTTTGAAAATTTTCAATTTTTTTTTTTGTTTTATCTTTTTGTATTTTTAATATTTAAAACAATAAAACACACACAAAAACACACAAAACAAATGAAAACTCATGTTTTTCACCCCCAAACTTAAATTAGACATTGTCCTCAATGTCTTAAATCCTATGTTCGCATATAAGGGGTGGGGGAAAAATGAAGAAAAGACTCCCCTGATATGGTAATGAAATTCAATGTCTAGCTTTTCCTTGTTTCTCATTGTTTCTTTGGTAATGGTTGGTTCAAGTGTTTCACAACGTCATGTTCCTGCACAATGCGGATAAATAAAGCATTAAGACACAAAAGATCTTGAACAAGTGTTACTTGGCTCAAACATCAATAAATCAACTAGTAACCTAAGGAAAAATGGGATATAGATGATAATTCCCTAATTAAAACCATAAAAATAAACTAAATTATCCTATAACTAGAAAGCAAAATAAATAAAAGGGATAGAAAGATTGGGTTGCCTCCCAACAAGCGCTTATTTATAGTCTTTAGCTTGACTTTATTGTTTCGACATCATGAAATTTTGAAGAACGCTTTTGATGCCTTGCTTAGTTTGCCCCTTTTGATTTTGATCCACTCTTCGTTGCTTCTACAAATTTTAGCAATGTCCCTTCCAATGTTATATGACTTGCCTATCTTATCTGATTCAAGTTCAACTGTGTAGACTTCTTCCTCCTCTTCGAGTTTAATTACAAATTCAATGGTAGGGCAATCAATAAAGTCAACGGAGTGTGAGTTAACATCTTCTTCATTAATTACCTTCCCTTTATTTTGTTCATTTGTAATTGAACTTTCATCGTCTTCGTTCTCGTCTTCCATAATTGATATCTCCTTGGGTTGAATGACTGGGTCACAATCTACATCCACGGACAATGGAAACTCTTTTCTTTCAAACTTCTCGACTGGATTATACCCCTACCTTTTAAATTCGATCCAAAATATGCCATCTCTCACGCACATTTTATTTTCATCTAACTTGGCAAGATCAGTGTAGTATTTTGCAAGTACCTCCTCGTTCAACATGGAAGGACCAACTCCAACAAGCGTGTTTGAAGGGACACACTCACCCACAGGCATGTAGTCTTCATTAGCATTGTCAAATGCTAATCTTCGACATCGCAAGTATTGTTGAAATCGCAAGAGCTTGAGCCTTCCTGGGTCAATGCATGTATACAAGCAGTAGCCAGTATAATGCACTTCATAGCAAAACTCACAATATATATCTTCTTCCTCATCGTCCATGTCGAGATTAATTATTGCAAAAATAATTCTACTATATCTGTGTTAGAATCTTGCATATACTACTGAACAACACCTGAAAAGAATACCAAATAAGAGAGATCGGGGTGGGTAGCTAAATTCAACAAATAATAATAATAATAATAATAATAATAATAATAATAATAATAAAGTGAAAAAAATTGAATCCAATATAAACTACTAAACTAAAATTTAATCCGTTATTCCCCGACAACGGCGCCAAAAACTTGTTCGTGTGAAACCCGCAAGTGTACGGGATCGTCGTACAAGTAATAAAATTTGTGAGTTAAGAGTATCGTTCCCACGAGAAATAAGGTCTAATACTTAGTTAAGTAGCTTTTACTAAATTCGAAGTAATATAAAATCAAAAAAGTTGTGATCTGTTTGTTTTCTATGCTAATCTTAAATTAAAAAAGCAAATAAAATATTTATTTAATATGTGAATATTTGTATTGGAATCGTGAATCCCCCTATTACCATTTAATTCAACTCTTAATTTATAATCTAGTAAATTTATGCATTCAAGACAATCGATAATCCACTTTTATTCAATATTCTTTCCCAAGATATATTAAACATATGTTTAACACGACCTGATCCTATTCCTAGTCCGAATTCATATGAAAAACATGCATTGATTCACAGGATTTATCACACATGATTGCACATGTCATAAATATTATTCCTAAAACCGATTGTCCATGTGTTGATTTTACCGCGTTCTAGACTTAGTGTGAGTATTCCTACACTACAAAAACAATTTACTATCTAATTGGTGATCAAACAATTAAATAGTTCAATGGGAATGTAAAACCAATCAAGAAAAAAATCATGAAATACTAAATTAATTTTCTTGAATTAAAATAAACAAACGATAGGGTTCATCATTCATCCAATACAATGAAAAACTAGCATAGCATATTAATATATAAATTACAAGAAGAATAATAGAAAAATATCACCCGAATTATGAAAGAATACAAAAGATGTTGATCTTCACGTCCAAAGTTGAATTTTTCAAAACTCGATGTGATTGAATTTCAATTCCTTGCTATGGCTTGATCTTCTCTCTCAAAATATAGCAATTGGCCCCTTGTTCTTGATGAATTTGATGAAACTATTGTGTATGAAGATGCAAGAAAGATACCCTTTCATTGCTACCCATATCTTGTATTTATATGATAAAATTAGGTCAAAATTCACGTCTAAATTGTCTTCCAAAAGAGTTTGAATCAAATAAGGAAAGTTGTCTTCGCGCGCACATAATTTTGTCTCTGCACAGTTTTCAGTATTTTGATCATAACTTTCTCTTTCGGTGTCCAATTCAGGTGATTCAAAGTGCATTGGAAAGCTAATTAAAAGATCTACAATTCTTCTAGAAATACAAATTTTCCAATTCAAACATTCTCCATCCGAAAAATGGGTCTCAAGTTGACCAAAAATCTTGAAAATATCATATATGATTGGAAGTCGATTTATGGTAATATTCTAATCATATCCCTTTCCTTTTTGACTCTAATTTGCATTCAATTGACTCCTATCAATCTTCAAAGTATCTTTTGTGGTCCAAATCGACCATTAGATATTTACACTTTGGTCCACTTACTTTGGATTTGCTTCATTTAGCTATTTTTCGCTCTTTTTTTCAATTCTTCTTTGAAACATGAATTTTTCCTAATAAAAGAAATAAATAACAAATCAGGTACTAATCCGTTCAAAAAATAACAAAATATCATTATTTAAGATCCCAAATAAGTGTAGAAACTACACTTATCAGTCAACGTGGTGGGTGACGGGACCCCATATATCACCCTAATTAATTTTTCAAAAATATAGGAAATTCAACCCTTATTTTAGCTTGTAATGTTTAATGATAATTGTAGATAAAGAGAATAAACGATATATAGAAATTCATTGGATTGAAAAAATCTTCTGGTTCTTCATTGAATATCCATTTAAATTTTTTAATTTTGCATCATTGTAGATCGCTTCTGGTTCAATATAAGATATAATTCAATTATTTAATTTTGAAGAATATGATTAAATATTATATAATCATATATCATTCAAGTAGTCAAACTAATAAAAGTTTTCACGACATTAGTTATATGTTTTCTTTCAGGGATAAACATGAATTTAAAATTAAATATGCGCTGCTTTGAAAGCACATTGTATTTTCTTTTAATTATTATTACTTATTTAAAAGCAATATGTCAATATTCTTCTGGAATATTAAAAATTATAATTCAAACTCTTTGGGAACAATCAAATATTATTATAATAAACTATACAAAAATTTACTCTTTAAGAGTAAAGATATAATTTATGTTAGATTGTATGTAATTATACTTTTTGAGAGTAAGTAAAATCTAACTAGAATAATAATGAAAATTATAATGTGTTATTGTGAGATCATATTATATTTTATTATTGCTTTTTCAAGAACAATAAATCAATATTTTTCTAAAATATGAAATTTTTTAATGTCATACTCTTTGACAACAATAACATATTATAGTTTACAATAATAATTATGTAACTCTTCACGAGTAAAAATATAATTTTATATTAGATCTTATATCATTATGTCCTCCAAGAAAAATAAAATCTAACCAGAACATCAATATTTAAATTCGCATGCAGAAGAATGGACACTTAAATAAATAGATTATTTTAATTCGTGATTTTACATTGAGCCGATCAATATACTTCAAGAAGATTGAAATTATAATATCATATTCTTTTGAAACAATTAATATTCTTTTTTAAAATATTAATAATGTTGTGATTTTTTGGAACATCAACACAAATTTTTTATGTAAAATTGTGCTGTCTTCAGGAGCACAATTAGATATATAATCTTCAAGGGTATAAATATAATATTCTTCTGAAATATTGACATTAATGATTCGTTCTACTTTTCGAGCTAAACAATATAATATTAAAATTTGTGCTCTACATGAGTAGCAATGAAATATTCTTCTGGAGTATTTATATAACGTGAGTTGTACTTATTCGAGAATATCAACACCATATTCGTTAAAAATAAATATAATTTAAATTATGTTTTTTTTAGGAATATTGAGTCAATATTCTTCTGTATTATTGAAATTGTAATAGCGTGCTCTTCATAAGCGAGTAATATTCTTTCAGAATATTAATAATGTTGTTCTACTTCAGGAGCAACAATAAATTATTTATAATAGATAGATCTAAAATATTAATTATAATATTATGCTACTTTTGGAGCAACAATATGGTAAATTATTAATTTAAAGTTTATATAATAGTATCTAAAAATATTTAATCACAACATAGACATGATATGAATTTATATAGAAAAATTAATTACCAAACATGTATTAGAAAAAAAGAATCTCCATATATAGAATTTAACAAAATTGACTAACTCTTTTATCAACATGCAAACGATATTAAACATGCACCTGAATTCCACATATACAAAAATCAGACGTAAGACTAATATGTGGCAAATTCAAAAGATAGGATTAATGTGACAAAATTGATTGTGTATGAATCAAAAAACATAAATTAATATGTGTACAAATTAAACATACAAATGTGAATTAAAATTAATATGCATATCAATGAAAGTAAAGGGGAATAAGCAACTTGGTTCTGATGTATATGCACATCGAAAGAATTCATATGTTACCAAATTAATTTTGAGATATGTGATAAATATTTATGCTTATAAAAAAAATTACTACAATTACTAAACCTTAAAAAATTAAACTATCGTGCTGATAAGTGTTATGAAAAAAGAAAAAAAGAAAGAAAAAAATAGAGAGAAATCAATAGACTTTTGTATATTTTATTAAGAACCAGAGCCTTATATTTATAAGTAAGAATCAGGAACACAATGATAATAATTTCTAGGGTGCAGGGGTAAAATTATCATTCACTAACAAACATTAATAAACTTACCATTTACAACACACACATATTTATTTCAATAAATAAGATATCCGTCCTCAATTTTTCGATTTAAAAAAAAAAAGAAAAAAGATTCGAGCGGTACCTAACTTTTGCTCTCCACGCAATTTTGGTCCCTAATATTTATTTCTTGGCACGTACATCCTCCACATAAACATTTCGTGCCCAAGTGGTCCAATACTGCCAATAGTTCGTATGATTCTCACCTTCATATTTGGCCAAGGGCAAATTTATCAAACCAAGCTCTTTTCTCCTACCGATATATGTATGGAGTCGATTTTATTTTCTCTTAACTCAGTTATGTATAAAATTTTATAGTGACAATAAAAATAGAAGCTTATCCTTTTCAAGTAATGAAGAGAAAATGGATCCCAATTTGTACAGATGTGGGTTCCAAGAAAAAAGCATGCACATGAAGAGTAAGAAAAGGAAGATCCTTGGAAGATTTTGGTTTTTGGGTTTTAGTTGAGGAGATGTTATGATGTGGATGAAGAAGTGAACGGTTAAAGGTTTAGATTGTATTGTTATTTATCATCAAACCAACGAACTATATAATGCCCTGCCTATTTTTGCATCCTAAGATGTTAATAATTTTAAAACACTACTAAGGAAATAATTTAAAAAGAAAAAAAGAAATCCCATCAAAAGATTAGATATTCCTAAAACAAGACACAACGAGAACGTGACAATAAATTTTCGATTAACATATTAACGGAAACAAAACGACGAATACAAATGAGAGACTTTTATTTAGAGAAAATTGCAGCAGTGATCCCAAATCTTTTTAATTTTTGCAGACTTTACTCTAACCTTCATTTTGTGCTAACGAAAGTCTTTAACCTTTCATAAATATGGAGTTGGAGACCAAATGGACCGTTGTTGATCAGAAAAGTCAAAATTTGACCAATTTGGATCAACTTATAAAGTATTTTGCATTCTTTTTCATATTAAATATAAAACAAGTTATTTAATTAAATTAAAAAACAAAAAAATACAAATAATATATAAATCCATCAAAAACTTTCTCCTTCTTCTCTCGGCGAGACTACCACCCCGCCATCACCGCCACCTTCGACCACATTGTCATCGTCGCAACCACTTCCCCCCTCACCACTTCCCCTACTACCGGTGGAAGCACCCTCCACAGAAAAAACCAAGAAATCCCATAGCAAACCAAGCAACCCCCCAAATTTCCATGCTTAATTTCCCAAACCATAGGATCCCCCACTAAATTTCACAAAAAAACCCATAGCAAACCACAGCATTCCCCACTCAATTTCACAAAAAAAACCCCACAGCAAACTACTGTAGAAGTGGTTGTACCACTGTGGTGGAAAGAAGACAAGTGTTTTAAGCATTGAAGGTGAAGGAACTACTTGCATTGTTGAGCGATAATTGATGATTCTCACACACAACGACAGTGCTGACCATCTTAGATCCAAGTGATAATCCGTTCACCTTGAGTCTTAATTCCAAGGGTTTTTCTCGCTGCCTTGATTGTCTTCGACAATGGTCCCGACCATCTACTATTTTCGGATACGAGTATGGGTAGGGTGTTGGGGGTTATATATTTTTAATTTATTTAATATGAGAAAAATGTAAAGTACTGTTATACCCTTTTTAAATTGGTCCAAAATGGTGAAATTTTAATTTTTCTTGTCAACTAACGGTCAAATCCATCAATTTGGACTCCAACTGCATATTTATGAAAGGTTGGGGACCTTCGTCAGTACAAAATAAAAGTTAGAGTAAAGGTTGAAAAAATTGAAAAAGTTTGGGATCGATGCTGCAATTTTTCCCTTTTATTTATTGTAAAATTAGATAATAAGTTTTCAACAGTTAATGCAGGCTGAAAAAAAATTGATATTAAACATCAAAATACAATGACAAATATACTTTTGGAATCAAATGGAGGTGAAAGCCATGTGCAGAACTAAAGGCAATTTTGACGAATTCTGTCAAAAAGGGCCTTTTGTGCATGAAATTGATAGTTTGAGAACATCAATGTCAAGAAAATATGGATTAGGGATCAAAATCACACAAAGGGAAAACGTTAAGGGACCATTTGCGCCAAAATTCTTATGCCTTGCGAATTACAATGGCTCCTCAGGCAAGGGGTCGAAGGAAATATCAAAAATTCATTCAAAAAGAAATATCTACAAATATCTATACGTAAGCATAATTTTTCAGATCATCATTTGCGTCCGCGAATTCTCTTGTTCCCCATCCTGGTAAATTCAATTCTTTTTAATATAATTGTATTTTTCCCATGGATTTCTGCCTTCGATTTCCCCTAAATTTTATTCCATTGACCTCTTCTGAGTTAAATATGTTTTTTTACTATTCCTTTCGTTCGAATTCCAATTTGGGATTTTGATAATGCCTGATTATAATAATTATTGGATTGATTCTTGATGGGTCATTAATTTGATGATGATATGCGCTCGTTTATTTCTCTTTCAAATCCATTTTACCGTTTCCAGTTCTGGTTGTTTATATTATTGTAGAATTAGAGTTTCCGAGCAATTTACTGGTTTATTGTTATCCTTTTTCAGAATTTCGCAGTGCATTTAAATCATATTTGGTTGTCCTTGGTTCCAAATAAATAAAAGTTTAGTTATTTTTAAGCACTGTGAACATTATTTGCTTATTTAAAAATATGGGGCACTTGGATTTTTAAGGCGTGCATCTACAATAACAGAATCGACGAATCTTTATTTCGATGATTCTTATATTGGCATCACCATAGTAAGGAGGAAGCCAATTTTTTGAGTAAAGGGGCTGTATATTTTTGTGATAGTATTCATCCTTGGGTGAAGCAGAAATGATTGGGGAGTTGGATCAATTTGTTTGGTGTATTACCCTTCCTCTAATTGCTTGTTTGGTACGCTGTATCATACACGACTAGATTCTTAATGTCACCAAACAAGCAATAATTTTCTGAAGCAAAATAAGAAGATTTGGAGTTTTGTATTTAAATCTTCCAATTGCAGTCTTTTTCTTGAATCAGTGAAGCACGTATAATTTCCAACGCAACGTGTATATATTCAAAATTTGGCTCTATTGTATGGAATAATTTCAGAGAGGTTACTTTTCCTGAGTTTAGAATATTTAGGTATACACAATAGTGAGAACAAGTATAAAACAAAAGAATGCAGATAGCACAATATATCTTCATACTTGCCAGTAATATATATTTTTTTATTTTTTTCTAAACTCTTTATGCTTTTTTGACATCTTATTTTTCTTTTTCAGTTTCATATGGAAGAAACTTCTCTTTGCACTGAGGTTTCAACAGATACACGAAGTTGTCAGACTCTGCGAGAAATAGATGACGAGAAAACAGCACTAGAGGATCAAAATGGAATTCATGATGGAAACAAACATGAAGGAAGGAAAGAATTCGTTGCCCCTGCTATAGGAATGGAGTTTGAGTCCTACGACGATGCTTACAATTATTATAATTGTTATGCCAGAGAGGTTGGATTTAGTGTGAGAGTAAAAAACTCGTGGTTTAAAAGAAATAGCAGAGAGAAATATGGTGCTGTACTTTGTTGCAGTAGCCAGGGTTTTAAAAGAGTTAAAGATGTAAACCATTTGCGGAAGGAAACAAGAACTGGTTGTCCTGCAATGATAAGGATGAGGTTATTGGATTCTAAAAGGTGGCGGATACTTGAAGTTACTCTCGAGCACAACCATTTGTTAGGTTCAAAAGGGTTCAAGTCGAGTAAAATGATGGCTGCCAGAACCAAGAGGAAAATACAGACGAACTCTGAATCGGACATGCAACCAGTGAGACTGTACCGGGCCGTAGTGATTGATGCAGGAGGTTATGAGACCTCAAATTTAGTCCAAACAAAGGTCAGAACTTCATGTGATCGTCCTGATCACTTGAATTTAAGAAAAGGTGACACACAAGCAATTTATAATTACTTTTGTCGAATGCAGTTGACGAACCCAAATTTTTTTTACTTGATGGATCTCAATGATGAAGGGTGTTTGAGGAATGTCTTCTGGATGGATGCTAGATCTAGGGCCACAAGCAGTTACTTCAGTGATGTTTTGTTTTTGGACAATACTTGTTTGTCAAACAAATACGAGATCCCCCTCGTGTCATTTGTTGGCATAAATCACCATGGTCAATCCGTTTTACTTGGTTGTGGCATGCTTGCAGGTGAGACAATGGACTCTTACAATTGGCTATTCAAAGCATGGCTTACATGCACATCCGGACAATCCCCACAAACCATTATCACAGACAGATGCAAGGTTTTGAAGAGTGTGGTGGCCGATGTGTTTCCAAAGTCTCATCATCGATTTAGTTTGTCACACATTATGAGAAAAGTTCCCGAGAAATTGGGTGGACTGCGAAACTACGACGCTATAAGAAAGGCATTGCTTAAAGGAGTTTACGAGACTCTGAAGCCTTGTGATTTTGATGCAGCATGGGGATTTATGATCCAGCATTTTGGAGTAGGTGATAACGAGTGGCTTAGGTCATTATACGAGGATCGAGCTATGTGGGCTCCTGTTTGTGTAAAGGACACCGTTTTTTTGGGAATGGCAACTGCAAGACCCGGCGAGACCTTAAATGCGTTTTTTGATAAGTACGTGCACAAGCAAACTCCATTGAAAGAATTTCTTGACAAGTATGAATTAGCGTTGCAAAAAAAGCACAAGGAAGAAGCCACTGCAGATTCAAATTCAAGGAGCTCAAGTCCCGAATTGAAAACAAGATGTGCATTTGAGTTGCAGGTGTCCAAGGTATATACTCCAGAAATATTCAAAAAATTTCAGTTGGAGGTTGAGGAAATGTATTCTTGTTTCAGTACTACACAGATACATATTGATGGACCGGTTATGATTTTTCTAGTGAAGGAAAGGGTTCTCAGTGAAGGAAACCGGAGAGAAGTTAGGGATTATGAAGTTTTGTACAATCGAGTGGCAGCCGAAGTTTGTTGCATTTGCAGTTGCTTCAACTTCTATGGCTACTTATGCCGACATGCATTGAGTGTACTCAACTTCAATGGGATAGAGGAGATCCCATCAAAATACATATTATCGCGGTGGAAAAAGGATTACAAGCGTTTATTTATACCAAATCATGGGTTGAGTACTACTGATGCTGGTGAACGGGTGCAACGCTTCAATCAATTGTACAGAAGTGCATTGCAAGTGGTGCAGGAGGGGGTGATCTCTCTAGACCATTATAAGGTTGCATTACGAGCATTTGAAGAGTCGTTGGATAGAGTTCACGACGTTGGAGGCAAACACAAATAAAGACCTCGTGTAGTGTATTGATGTGAATTCTTTTAGTGCCGGGCCAGTAGAACATAAGAGTACTTCCAGCTCTATGTATGATACAATGCTGGAAGAAGCAATTTAACTGGTTACATGTAACCGTTTTTTCTTTTTTTCTAGGTACCCATAACTTCAGCTGATTGTGGCTTTAGTTGTCTTGGTTTAGAAATTATACCTCCTCTGTATTTTTCTTATTTGGTTGATCTTCTAAATCAGTAAAAATAACCAAAAAAGGAAGGCTTAATTGCATTTTGGTCCCTAACTTCCATTAAAAGGTCAATTGAATTATCCAACTTTAATTTGTTTTAATGAAATCAATAATCTTCAATTTATTCTGGTACCTTATTATTAAAGGATGAATTCCACACTGAACGCTTATCAGGATTTTAATCAACATGTAAGAGTTTGTATTAGTCTATATAATGTTGACATTTTAAGATAGATATTCAAGACTTAATCTAGCATCGGATTTCTTTAAGCTTAAACCAACAATTTGATTCTATTAAGATTCAAACGACCATACGAATATTAGAATTGATTCACTTAAACAATTCTCCACATTGGGGACATATTAAGAGATAAATTCCATCCCGAATACTTAACAAAGATATAACCAACATGTAAGGGCTTTGATGACTCCTTCTAATGATGATAACCTGTTAAGATGGACCTCAAGATTGAACACTTGTGTTGGTCAAGGCAATAGTAGACGCTTATGTGACTTTTAAAATGTAACAATTGTTAGATTTAAAATGCAACTTAACTAAATCGCATTTTTGAGTTTCATTTTAAAATGGTATTTCAAAAATCATTTTAGACTCCTAACCCCACCACAAATCAGTTGATCAAACAAGGGCCAAATAGGTCAAAATCTAAGGTTCTTGCCCATTTGTTCAACCCCACTAATCGTCCCAGATAAAGATGGAGTCGAGATTAAATTTAAAAATCTTTTAAACTGAGTTAATGTGTAAAAATAAAAAATAAAAATAAAAATCATACGTTTAAAAAGTAATTTGGTTGGAGCCGGCATGGCTTATAGTCCAAGCCAACTCCCTAAATCCGTTATTGGTCCCAAATGTCCGTGAGATCTATTCTAATTGACATTCTCTTGTGCTCGTGTGAAGAATGAACGTATGTAAGAACTCTATTGATCGACATGAGCGTGATTTTTCTCTTTGTTGGACAGAATCATAAATTATAGTCAAAGAAGTATAATTTTTGGAATTTTGAGGGAGGACAAAAGGATTGAGAGAGACCTAAGCAATCTAAAATTAATGTCAACTTGAAGTTCTGCACAAACAGTAGTAACCATTTGTGAAATTCAGCTCTCAAAAAATTATAGAGAATGTTATTCATCCACCCAGACGAAACGTAATTGCATGCTACAATAAATTTTTCTTTTCTTGGATTTCCAAATGAACCGTGGCAGTGATCTAATGGTTCTAGACTCTTGCCCTCTTGCTTTGCACACTCGAAATCAGAATACATTTTTCAAAATTTTGACTACCTTACAGCATATTTACATGATCTAGTAATTCCCACAAAATTGTTATTAGGAAAATTTTAGATATAATTTGCGGACAATGATGTAATTGTATGCTAATTCCCTTTTCACGTACATCATTTTATTTAAAAATTGACAGTATCGTCACTCTACCACCAATACTCCGTTATACTTCTAGTGTAATGCCTCCACTTTTTACTCTCTTTTTTTTCTTTTTTTCCAACCCTTACCTCCACATACATGGTCATCATCCAGCTATACTCTTCTCTCAAACCTCTATATAGAGGTGATGTGTCATCCTAGGCTATGCAACAATACTGAAAAGGTTTAGAAGTAGATGTGTCAAATTAACTTTTGTTTTGTTTTTATAACAGTCTAATAAAATTCGTCCAGAAAATGTGAGATTCAGTCTTTGATATTTTTTCCGATTAATTTTCCAAAAATAAACAAGGCTCTCACGAATTTAGAGAACCAAGACCCAAGCTCGACACAATCTTTCTCTTCAAATAGGACTAGAAGAGTAAAACAATGATCTCCAATTTAAGCAGACTTTTTAAAGATAGATTTTACATTTATGTATATAGATGTGCATATCTTTGGAAGGGCAGTGTTGCAATGCCAGAAGAGGAGCACCAGAAGCTTTGACAAATCCTCACATTTGGATAGTGGGGCCACTTCTTCCTTCAAATATTTTATTTATGCGGGCCCCAACATTGTGAGTAATCTGTCAGCCCCTATGTCAAGATTTTTTTGGCACATCAGATTTATCCTCTTTGGAATGCCATTAAGAAGGCCTCCTTGCCTTGTCCTGTCAAGAATTTTTCAGAGTCAAGGTGAGGATGGAGCACAGGGGTGGGCTTGGGAGAGGGGGGGTTTACAGGGTCAAGTGACCCTCTAGATTTTGAAAAAAATAAATAAATAAAAAAAATTGTTTAGCTTCTTCTTCTTCTTTTTTTTTATTTTTGTAGAAGGTACCCTATAACTTTTATGTGTGATCCCCTAATCCAAGTCGTCTAGATCCATCCCTGATGGAGCATAGGTTAAAAAATTTCACTCATTACTTATTTATTAACTTTTTAAATGTACTTTAAACTATAAAATCAACAAAATTTCAAATATATATATAAAATTGAGGATAGTTGTGGGAAAGGATCACATTTTCACCCCGACGATAAAATGAGTCGAGGCTATGAGGAGTTGGACATGCGAGGTGAGGTATTTTGCCATCTTAACACATCTACATTTATATAGAGATAATGAAATACTTACCCAGAGATACACTCGTGTGTGGTTAAAAAGTAAAGAAAAGTTTTAAGTTTACGTATAATATTATGTTATTAAAAATATACATGATTGAAATGTGGTCAAATAACTGTTGAAGAATGCATTTCAATAGAAAAAATAGGGCTCAAACGAGGGCTTTATATAAGGGAAAATTACATAATTCCAAGTGTCCAAAAGTCACAATTCAAAAATTAGGGTTGATATTTCACTATTAATAAATTAGGTATCAATATAATATTTAAATATTAAATATTCCCCCAAATTATTTCAAGCCCTAATCAATTTTTTCCTTACCATTTCTCTCTCTCTACCCTCTCTTCTCTCTTAGTCTCTCCCGTCTCTCCATCACAATAGCCGTGAAAAATTCCTTGCCGGTAGTGTTCATGACTTTGCACTGTAGCAGCGACACTTTGAAGACCAGTGCCACTGCAAGAAGATAAGCATCACTGCAAGAGCGCGATGGAGATGTTATATTTTGCCTAGGAGTGCCGCTGCTGCGCGATTTCTACCTAGGAATGCTTACCAAAACCACACAACCGCCTATTGGGAATTATCCCACACACTTTTGTTGCGCAACTTTTGGCAAGAATGCCCAACTCTGGATCACAAATAATATTATCACCTTTGGGTAGTTTTGATGACGTTGTGGGGGTGACGATGTGGCGATGGTGATGCGGTGGATCTAGGTAGGACGGCGGTAGTAGTGATGGTAGCGGCGGTGCTTGCGTTAGCAGTGGTGATCGTAGTTGTGATGTGTTGGAGATGAAAGGCTGGTGGTAGTGTCGATGGGGTGGTTGAATTGTTGGTGGTGCAAGTGTTAGTGGCGATGTTACTACAGTGATAAGTTGGTGCTTGGTTTCAATGGTGTTGGTAGTGTTTGTGACCAATTATATACGTTGTTCGGTTGGTGCCGTCGCAGTGGCGATATTGGTGATGTGTTTTGGTTTGTTTTTGTCGGGAGGTGGTGGTTTTCATGGTGGTAATGGTGGTGGTGTTGGTGGTGGTTGTGATGGTGTTATGGTCGGGATAGTGTTTGTGATCAAGCATTATGGTGGATCGGGATCAGGTATTTGGCGTCTGTGACCAACTATTTGGTTCCCTGTGACTGTATTAATCCGTGACTTTAAAATTCGATCATTTTTTGATTAAAAAAGTAATTTGTGACCATCAAATTTAAAAATATATGACCCGTAACCTATAATTTTTTGAATTTTTGACCATTTATAATTTATAATTTTTTGATTTGTGACCTTGAAAAAATCTATGACCAATTAATTTGATAATATGTTACCAGTAAATAAACCTATGACTTATAATTGTGAATCTGTGATCATTAATCGTACAACTATGACTTTGTCATCATTATTTAATAAATATTTTTGATTAATTAGTTAAAACCTGATTTTTGTATTAATGAAACTTGTAACTTGAATTTTGCATTATGCATAGGTAAAACTTGATTTGTGAACTCTTCCCTTTATATAAACTATAAAAGTTAATAAAAGTTCACGAACCCTATAGAAGTCCCTCACTTACAAAAAGTCTCTATGAAAGCATTTGAAAAACTAAATTTAATACGCCCCTTAATCTCTAATAATACAGTGTAAAACCAAACTAAATTATATGGCTCAAGTGAGCTCAAACTTGTATAAATTAGTTGGTTTCCATATATTATATTCATATAATAACCGTAAGCTACAATAGATAGCTTGCCTTTGTGTATTGAAAATAAAAAGAAATTTGATGTATTAATATGATAGTTTTTTATTGTCTCATGCATCAAATCACTAATGATCACATGTATGCCATGTAGAACAACCGTAGTAATGAACAACTACAAATGACATTATTCTAAAAATTGAGCAGTGTGCGGTTTCTATGGTGTTATTTCTTGTGTTTACTTGCCTTGAATAATACTATTTGCAATTGTTCATTATTGTAGTCGTTTTACATGACATACATGTGGTGGTTAGTGATTTAATGCATAAGGTAATAAAAACTATCACATTAATTCATCTAATCAGTAAGCGCCTAATGAATACCACGTAAGACAACTATAACTGTGAACAATTGCAAATAATATTATTCTACTTTTCCTCCTAAATTTGGCCTGTTTGGTAGGTAATTTTGCCAAAAGCATAATTTTTATTTGAAAAATGAAACCCCATTAGTGAAAGAATGGAAAGTAAGTAATGGAAGGATTTATAATTCTTCGATTTAAAAAGGTAATTCTTGTGGTTGTTGTTGACTTCAAGTCAATCTTTCTTATTTACTCAAAAGGTAGTCGAGTAAGTCGCCATTTTTGGATTTTTGAAGATTTATTCCAGTTCTTTTTTTAAGTGGACCGTGGTATCATGGTGACGGCTTACTCAGCTACCCAACCATTATTGGTTGAACATAACATATAAACACGTGAACACTTAAGTGCAAAGTCGATGTGGGACAATGTCTACGATGGGCATCAAGTAATTGAGCTGGAGGGATCTCCCCCTTCAATTTTTCCATTGCGTTAAACCCTTCTCGCTTTGCTTTTGATTGATTGATACTAGTTAAGCGAGAGGAACATATCATCACATTTTAATGACCACTCGCTATTTTATGAATGTCATTTGTTTCTTATATCTGCATATAATATCCAATTTCCATTTATAATTTTAGACCACGTCAAGTTTCAATCAACGAATATTGTATAGGACTCGGGATTTTTTATTCAACTATAACAATTAATCGTCTGATGGATTGATATTACCATAGTCTATCAGTTCTCGAAAGTAATATTATAAAACTTTGGAAAAATGGTGTTTCAGAGTACCTAAATAGAGTTGCGTAATCTTGTCCGTTCCTATGTGGACCATGGCCTTGATGAGTTTTAGTTCTTGAATCTTTTGTACATGAACTTTTTTCAGCTTGGAGTTGCCTAATTTTCATTTTTATTGCCAAGTCTATTATAAATTTGTTAGCTTTGCTTGGACATAAAAGGAAGGTAGATTCTAGTTACTTGTTTCATGAGCATCTACGGTTACACATTCTGTGGTTAGAATCAAAGGTTTTGTGTTTCCATATACCATTTTTACTATTTTCTCAATTCACTCTTTTCTTACTAAAACAGAAAAGGAAGCATAAACACACTATTTTGCTTCCTTTGAACTTGAAATAATTTTGGTTCTCCGCTGAATGACAATTATTGTGTTGGATGAAGGATCAACGAATTTGCAATCAGTTCTCTGTAGGATTGATAATATAATGGTTTCTTGCATTCAATTTTCTCAAAATTAATATGTCAAAAGTCTCATTGATCAAATCTTCAAAACGAACATTTAAATTATCCACCAAATCATTCTAGCAATTAACAGTAGAACCTAAAAATTAAGTTATTATATAAATAATTAATTGAATGACCTGATTAGGAAATTGAATGCAAATAAACCAAAAAAAAAAATGATGTTTGCTAAACATTTAAGGGAGATCAATACAAATTAAAACAAAAGCAAATAATTAACAAAAAAAATAAAAAAAAAATTGGATAAACTAACTTGGAAATTTAGTTGAAATTGAAGAAAACTATCAGTATAAGGAAAAAATGTGTGAGTTTGAATAAAAATCTAGATTTTGTCTACTCAATTGTAATGAGTGGTCGACTAATATGGTTCAGCAATAGTTATTCACCACTTCACCAATTTGAGCGTTTTGTATTCATAGTTTTGACTATTGATGGGTATTTAGGTATGCTTTAATTAATTAATTCAAATGGATAATTGTTTATTTGGGTATTGAGTTTAATTGGGTTATACCTATTATGGATGCATCTTTTTAATTGGAATGTATTTAGTTTTGATTGGTTTGAATACAATTTAAATAAATTTATTTTCATAATTCATTTATAGATGATTTGACAGTTTAAAATGTTTTGCAAATATTGAAATTTAAACCAAATCTCTTTAAAACAGTTTGGTTCGATTTAAAATCAAAATGATGATGGATCCACATGGACCCAATGGAACGATTTTAAAAAAGTGGTTATGCTTCGATTTTACGATTTCGTTCTTCAACCTAGTTAAAAGGAATTTATTTTTGGAATTGATCAATAACCTAAGAAGGGTAGAACTGCCAATTCAGGTCAAACCTGCCAAAAACTTGGTAATGAAACCCTGGAGGCACCGCTTGTTCTGTACAACCGCTCTTATTTGGCACTGCTTCGCCGCATCATAAGATGAGCGACTTGAACATCCTCCATTGTAATTCCATGATTGAACTTGCCGGTATTACAAGTATGGCTAGTAAATTGAGCAATCTTTGTTTGGCTTTCTCTTCAAGTTACATCAAATCTCTCGCTCCTTCTTTTGATGAACTATCTAATAAGATTAGACGAAAGTTTAAAGGTAGTGGCCGAATCTTGCTTGTACTAGAATAACGGCCGATCCTATGGCCAAGCAAATGAGGCCTGTGCCTCAGGCCCAAAACCATAGGGGCCTATTTTGGTCCAAAAGTTTTTTAAATATTAAAAGAAAGAAAATGAAAATAGTTTTTTTTACATTAATTGTGAGATGATTGAGATATTTATTTGTTGTTTTAATATTAAGTTTTAAATTAGCAATATGTTGCATAATATATTGTTGAATTTTTTGCATTTACGTTGATTTTGGGGCCCTAATTTTTGGACTTCGCCTCGAGCCCCGACAATCATAAGACCGGACCTGACTAGAATTAGGATGGTTCTCCTTCTCCGACTCTAAGTTTCCTTCATTTTCTTAGTTTAGTTTACACGGGATCCTCGATCTTGCTCAAAAGTGCCCAATACAAGAGCTTGCATTCGATAACATACATTCTTTTAACAATGTTACAATAATATGACACTTGTAACTTTTTGTGACTTTCATTCTTTCCCTCAAAGGAAACTTAAAACGAGGTCAATGATCTGGTAAGACTTTGTTTTTATCACTTGAGTTAAGTCATGTTCTTATTACAAATATAACCATCAAAACAAGTAAGAATCAATAGATTGTAAGCAAATTTTAAATAAAATAAGAAAAAGATCAGATAAGATTAATTAAATCTTGTGAATATTGTGGATGTGTTGAAAGGTTGTGTGAGTGGGTTAAGTCTTGGAAGAATTGTCATATTCCACTTATTGTCAGAACATGGGGCAAGTTTAGTTGTTTTCTTCCATAAATTACACGTATCTTTTCGATATCTTGGTTTTAATGGTTTCTTTTTTTAATATAATCAAAGCATTTTGAGAGTATCGTTGTGACAAAATTGTGAATGGTTACAAGAAAAAAGCATGCACATGAAGAGTAAGAAAAGGAAGTTCTTTGGAAGATTTTGGTTTTGGGTTTTATTTGCGGAGATGTTATGATGTGGATGAAGAAGGGAATGGTTAAAGGTTTAGATTGAATTGTAATATGTATTTCACTTCAATAATTTATGAATGAAAAATATTTTATCTTATGGGTTTCCTATCAGTCCAATAAATGTTAAATGATTTTTTAACTTTTGGAGATAGAAATTTTGTTCCCAACCTATTTAAGTTGGTGCATATTTTGTATCCTAAGATGTTAGGGCTTGTTTGGGAGCGATTTTTTCTCCCAAAAAATTGATTTTTTGACCGTTATTTCACTATTTCAATCGTCATATTTGACTTCTTTTCTCACGGGTGGACCCCAATTTTCTCCTAACGGTCAAAAAATTAATTCTCAAAATTACTCTCAAACAGGTTCTTAATAAATTTTAAACACTGCTAAGGAAATCATTTAAAAAGAAAAAATCCCATCAAAGATTAGTAATATTCCTAAAATAAGACAATGAAAATGTGACAAAAATCTTCGATTAACATATTAATGAAAACAAAATGACGACTACAAATGCGAGAATTTTATTTATCGTGAAATTAAATAATAAGTTTTCAACAGTTAATGCGAGCTGAAAAAATTGATATTAAACATTAAAATACAATTGGAATTCAATATGTTTGACAAATTCACTTTTGGAATCAAATGGAAGTGAAAGCAATGTGCAAAACTAACGGCAATGTTGATGAATTCTGTCAAAAAGTACCTTTTGTGCTTGAAATTGATAGATTGAGAACATCAATGTCAAGAAAATATAGATTAGGGATCAAAATCACACTAAGGGAAAACGTTAGAGGACCATTTGTGCCAAAATTCTTTTGCCTTACAAATTACAATGGCTCCTTGGACAAGGGGTCGAAGGAAATATCAATAATTCATTCAAAAAGAAATATCTACAAATATCTATCCGTAAGCATAATTTTTCAGATCATCATTTGCATCCGCGAATTCTCTTCTTCTCCATCCCTGGTAAATTCAATTCTTTTTAATATAATTGTATTTTGCCCATGGATTTCTGCCTTCGATTTCCCCTAAATTTTATTCCATTGACCTCTTCTGAATTAAATTTTTTTTTTTAACTATTCCTTTTGTTGGAATTCCAATTTGGGATTTTGATAATGCCTGCTTATAATAATTATTGGATTGATTCTTGATGGTTCATTAATTTGATGATGATATGTGCTCGTTTATTTCTCTTTCAAATCGATTTTACCATTTCCAGTTCCGGTTGTTTATATTATTATCGAATTAGAGTTCCAAGCAATTTACTGGTTTATTGTTATCCTTTTTCTGATATTCACTGTGCATTTAAATCATATCTGGTTGTCCTTGGTTCCTAATAAATAAAAATTAAGTTATTTTTTAGCAATGTGAACGTTATTTGCTTATTTAAATATGGAGCAATCAGATTTTACATGTCTTCCAATAACAGCATAAGGTGTTCATCTACAATAACAGAATCGACAAGTCTTTATTTCCACGATTCATATATTGGCATTACCATAGGAAGGAGGAAGCCAATTTTTTGAGTAAAGGGGCTGTCTAGTATTCATCGTTAGGTGAAGCAGAAATGAGTGGGGAGTTGGATCAATTTTTTTTATTGTATTACCCTTCCTCTAATTGCATGTTTGGTACGCCGTAGCATACATGACTAGATTGTTAATCTCACCAAACAAGCAATAATTGTCTGAAACAGAATAAGTAGATTTGGAGTTTTATATTTAAACCTTCCAATTGCATTCTTTTTCTTGAATCAGTGAAGCACATATAATCTCCAACGTGTTTTCAATCAATATGTTGGCTCTATTGTATGGAATAATTTCAGAGAGGATACTTTTCCTGAGTTTAGAATATTTAACTTATGAGTTGCCTTTTTCATTGTTCAGGTTATGCTACTGCCGTTGTTCTCCTCTCATTGATAATAGAAGTCTGATTTCAATGGATGATTTGCCTGATGAAGTAGTTTGGGACATTTTAGGAAGAATAAAGAAAACAGTTGATAAAAACTCTGTTTCGTTGACTTGTAAACGTGTTCATAAATTAGATAACGAGCAGAGAAAATCTATCAGAGTTGGCTGTGGATTGGACCCTGCCAATGAAGCATTGGCTACTCTGTGCAACAGATTTCGGAACTTGGAAAAAGTGGAAATCTCTTACTCGGGTTGGATGTCAAGATTAGGGAAACAGTTGGATGATCAAGGGCTTTGCATTCTTTCGAGCAGCTGCCCATATCTAAAAGATCTCAATTTAAGTTATTGTACGTTTATCACCGATGCGGGTTTAAGCCGCCTTGCTTCTTGCTCCCATCTTTCTGCTTTGAAATTAAATTTCACTCCGAGAATAAGTGGCTGTGGGATATTATCTCTTGTGGTAGGATGCAAAAACCTTAGGTTGCTTCACCTTATTCGTTGTCTTAATGTTAGCAGCATGGAGTGGCTCGAATATCTTGGCAAGCTTGAAACAATTGAAGATCTTTGCATCAAGAATTGTAGGGTAATAGGAGAAGGTGATTTAATCAAGCTCGGGCCGAGTTGGCTCAAATTAAAGCGCTTGCAATTTGAGGTGGATGCTAATTACCGTTACATGAAGGTTTATGATCGGTTAGCCGTAGATCAATGGCAAAAGCAGTGGATTCCGTGTGATAACATGCTTGAGCTCAACTTGGTGAATAGTATCATTAGTCCTGGTAGAGGTCTTGCATGTGTGTTGGGGAAATGCAAGAACTTGGAAAAAATTCACTTAGATATGTGTGTTGGGGTACGAGACTGTGACATTATACGTATGGCTCGTAAGTCGAGCAATCTTCGTTCGATTTCCCTCCGAGTTCCATCAGATTTTTCGCTCCCTCTTTTGATGAACAATCCAATAAGATTAACAGATGAAAGTTTGAAGGCAGTGGCAGAGACTTGCTCACATCTCGAATCAGTGAGGTTATCTTTCTCCGATGGTGAGTTTCCTTCATTTTCCTCATTTACTTTACATGGAATTCTTAGTCTAATACAAAGGTGCCCCATAAAAGAACTTGCATTGGATCACGTATACTCCTTTAATGATGTTGGAATGGAAGCACTATGTTCGGCTGAATACCTTCGTATATTAGAACTCACTCGATGCCAAGAGATTACTGACGAGGGACTACAGCTTGTAGCGCAATTTCCGAAGCTGTGTATTTTAAAGCTTAGCAAATGTTTAGGAGTTACGGATGATGGATTAAGGCCACTTGTCGGATCACACAAGTTAGAACTTCTAGCAGTCGATGACTGCCCACAGATATCAGAAAGGGGCGTTCACGGGGCTGCTAAGTTGGTTACATTCAAGCAAGACCTGTCGTGGATGTACTGAGCGTCGAAATTGAAATGATTATAATATCTTATTTGTTGTATGGTTTATAATATCTTATTTCCTATGGAGAATTTCAGTTGGAATATTCATTGAAAAGTATACATGCCTGTGTTCGATTTAGTCCATTCATAGACAAAATATGTAGTTGTGAAGACATTTTGTACATATTTGATTCCTTGGACTCGACGTGACGTTTATAGGTTGCATTACATTTAGATTCCTATAGTGCCTGGAGTTGAGCATGTTTGGCCGCTAATACTCTGAAGCCAGTTTATTTCGACAGTATCACTCTAGATGCTGTCAAAATAAGCTGAGAGGAACCCATGTTTCAGCTTTTAAGATAAGCCAAACGTGCTATAAATCCAAACAAGTACTGCAGATGAAGTTATAATGTAGCCCTTGTTTGTCATCGTTTAACACAATAAATTATTTGCTACAGTATCATTCTCTACCATATAATTCATATAATTAAAATATTCTATATACAAACCAATAAAGTTTTTTAAAATTTCAACCACACATTTTTCAAAAATTACTATTCAAAACTCTATATTTTCTCCCAAAATGGGAGACATACAAGCTCGTATTAACTATGCTCTTGTTCGATTCTAATTATGTTTAAAATATATTTTTCTCTTCTTTTTAATCACACATTTTTCTATAAAATAATATTAAACGCAAATATAAATTTTTTATTATTTTTTAATCATACAGTCTTTATCAATCTACTACTCCAAAATTTATTCTTACAATAAAATGGAGCTCAAAGAATTAGAACCCTACCTTGAAATTATTGGAAATAGAGTTGCACTACACGTACATAATTTTTTATCACGGATGTTTTATAGAAGACACATTGGTGGGGTGGGTGGTTAATTTTTTGACATTCAGTGAGGATTCTGGCCAGATTTTGTGAAGGAAAATTCTGCACATCCTTGGAAATAAGACTCATTGTTTACCATACATCTAAAAACTGTAGCACAAGATGGATTACACCCACACATTCCCGGAAAGAAAATACAAGGAATGTTGAATCGCCCAAATGAACTGGACTAGTTTAAAGCTATGAGGAGAATATGGCTGTATCTAATTAGGATTTTTACACTAATCCTCAGCAACTTCATGAAATTAACGAAAAGAATAGATCCTTGAGAGGCTAATTAGTTCCCTATAATACAGTTACAATATTTCATCCTAGAATGCAAGACTATCCCTTACTAAGTATAGGTGTAGTTGGTTATATTTGTCTAACTCGTGAGGAGACTTTCCACTAGCTGACTTCATATCCAGATTCCTCGTCGAATGTGATATTTAGATCTGGAAGCATGAATTTACCCTCGGCAGCCGCAACTGCCTTTGTTTCAGGAGAGTCGTCTGATGCAGGGAATTGCAGCCCATCAATGTTTTTGGAGATAATTGGGGACGGTGTAATAGGAATGATTGGTTGACAAGATGCAATGTTTTCCTGAACTCGGCCAGAAACTGTTGTCTCAGACAGAGCTGTTGTTCCTTGTTCCATAAGTGGTTGCAATTCCATCTGTTCAGAAGAATAACACGAGTTTCAGAATGTAACAAAACATCAGATGCACGACATTGCTCTTAAACATTTCATTTTCTTAGTTTCTCTGTTCAATGTTTAGCATTCTTATTGTGGTTTGGCAGTTGACAGTATTAACAGGACAAGCTTGCATGAAGAAACTGAAAAGAATTTCATGTTTGAACCCGATGAACCTAATATGGTGATGTCCAAAGATGAGAGAGCCAGTAAAGAATGCAAATGCACAAAGTAAAAAAAAAATCATGATATCACAGCAAAAGTACTAAAAATGTCTCTTAACAAATTACAATATGCAACCATGAAAGGAAAAATGGAGAGTTTTGGAATGAACTACGAAGCCAATAGTAAAATTTTTCGAACAAGTATAAAACAATAAACAGTTTAAAAATTATACATAGATAGAAACCAAAGGTAAATATGTGGATAGTGTTTGTGAGTCCCTCAAAATCTCCGGGGATAAAAAGTGGCTTGAGTATTTATAAACAATTTATAAACATGAGCCAAACATAAGCTAAATTTCGTTACAAACAATTGGTTGACTACATAGATGATACATAGATGATATGTCGCCACTCATCTCATATGTTAATTACTAGATCCAAATGAGTATCCAAAGCATTTAGATTCTTATCAATCATAACAGGCCATGCAGGTTTTGGTCTACTCCATCTTTTAATATCTTGTACCAAGATCACGTCACATTTATAAACACAAGACTCTAGATTGCATCATCCTTTAGGTCTACTCAATAGTGAAAACAAGTATAAAACAAAAAAAATAGATAGTTTCGAGATTATTTATGAACAAACGACACTAGATTGCATCATTCTTTTGGTCTACACAATCATACAAGCCATGCTAGTTTGATCTACTCCTCTATCTTTTAATGTCTAGTACTGAGATCACGTCACTCTGATAAACACAAGACTAGATTGCAGCATACTTTAGGTCTACACAATAGTGAGAACAAGTATAAAACAAAAGAAATAAATAGTTTCAAGAACTCTTCCATCGATATTTTTGGTGCAGTTTTGGTCCACGTTCTATTCTACATTCAGCTATCTGCCCAGTGTTCTTGTAAGTATAAAATCAAGAAATTGCCAAATTAAGCCCCGGTTTGGTTTGTCAGTAAATCAGATTTTTTGTGAATTTTCATAATAAATTAATGAAATGTGTGGTTGAAAAGTCAATAAAAGTTGCGAGTTCTATGAAATGTATGGTTAAAATATATTACTTACTTTGAGTTAGATTTTTATAAAATTTTTTAGCTAAACCAAATAGGGGCTAAGTGGTACACGGAACTAGATGTTCCGATATCACTTCTATGTATGTAGCATGCAATATTGCTTGGGTGTTGCAAGTGCAGAAGTTAAGATACTATACACAGACACAGCAAAAAACCAGATCACTGCAGTTCCTTGGGCATATCAAGTACAGAAATTCAGATAATATACACTGATACACAGCACAAAATCAGATCACTACAGTTCCTTGTGGGCAGCAGTAGGCCAGCCATCTATAGGTAGCAGGATAGAGTTTTAGCGAAAGAAGATCATTAATTTGAGCATTTCCAGGACACTGACAGGGGTCATATAAGTCACACACTATACATTTAAACGTCTAGCAGGTCAGTGGATTCAAAAATGAATAATGCAAGCAAGTCTATCAGACTTCTTCATATATCAGATGTAATGGAAATGGATGACACAATATCAAAGTGAACTGTGATAATCGCACCTTCATTTTCTTCAAGCTTACATTAGTAACCCTTTGTTTCTCCAGATTGACTCGTAAAGCTGATATTTCCTGTGTAGAAATAGTTGTTTTGATGCCATTTCATAGGTAGGAGAATTTGCAAATTTATGTTAATCAGTACACGGAGCAAAATTAAGAAAAGTACCCTCTTCAATTCTCTCCTTTCCTTACTCAGCAAGTCCACCTCTTCTTTCAGTTCAGTTAAGTTCTGCAAATCAAAACCAAGAGAAGTACCATAATAAGACTTTGTGAAAGGAACAACTAAAATGCTAATTTTGCGTTCTTCTTTCTTTAGGTAAAAAAATAAAATAAAATAAAATTCATCCAATAATATATATACATATTTTTTTGGCATGAAGAAACACCTCTAGCAATTTGAGCATTTCAGTCTCGTACAAAAATGCAAACTGTAATGAATTTTCTAGAAAAATTTCCCCTCGTACGCTTCTCAAAATTTCTTGGTGATCTGTTTTTCTAAGTAATAAGAATTGCATATTCGAGTAGAATAGAGTAACAAATTGATTAAGAATATTCCAACAGTCAAATATAAGCAGAATGTAAGATCATGTTCCCCTACATGGGGCATCAATTCAGAAAATAATGCTGATAACTTTACCAGATATGTTAAGATTCTTTGAATTAATTAAATTATATATTTCTCCTGCATGGGAATCAACTCGGAAAACAATGCCGACAACTTTGTCAAATATATAGGATTCTAATTATATCAATATATTAGAAATGAATGGGCAAGATAACTCCCTATTATGAGTAGTATATAAATTCTGATCGATCTATATTTAACCGTAACAGTTTTCACAACATCAGCCGAATGTTCTGTGAAAACTTTGAATAATTGAATGACAACTAATGTTTTAGGAACTAAGAAACAGTTTTGGGTATCCCAATGATTGGACCGTTAGAAATATCTCAACTGGGCATTACAAAAACGTGAGTACAGCGTGTTAAGACCAATATACACTTCATGAGCTCAATAAATAGCATGATAATCACCTTCTTCTTTCTTGATCTCTTGATGGCTGATTTTTCACTACTATTATTAATCTGCAATGTATATAAGAAACAATTAGCATGCAATCATGCGGAACAACGCAGATTTAGTTTGTTGGTAGTCTCATGAACTTCAATTTACTGTCAATAAGCACGCACAACGAGTTGATAAACATAATTACACAGTGAATTTGAAGACGAGAAACCCAAGAGCTAGGACCCACTTCTAAGCACGCACTCGTCTCATGTGACAGCTGCTAAAATTGTCCCTTTACAAAAATCTGGACAAACATTCCTCCTAAATTTCAGTCCATAGGTGCATGTTTAGTAAATCATATTAGTTTAGATGATAGTGGACGGTACAATAAATATGTCTTTAGCTTATATTTTTAGTCCTTAATATTGCCGGAGTACTATACAGTATCTTCAAAACAAGCCAAAAAGGATTTAAATGAGACATCACCCACCAAAAATATTGTCAATTTGGCCAGTTATTGTGATCTAACAACATTTCTCAAACATTACAGCCACAGCTCTTCCCTCAAAAAGAGTTGGGAGTGGGTGCATGTGAAATTTGTTCTACACGTTAACCGACATCCCAGGAATCATGTTTCTAAGGAACACATGAAGTCACGTGTAATTTAATATTTATGTAACTATGTAGATACCCAAGCAAGCTCTAGATATCGTAAATATCATCAAATAAAAGAAAACATCAAATTGATAGAAAAAATAATAATAAATAAATAAAAATGAGAAAGGTAAGTAAAAGAATTAGTTGGGATTTGAAATTTTAGATTTGGTAAATACTATCATGTTTGGTTGTTAGGTCCCCACCCCCACACCATCCCTCCATCATCGAAGCTAAATTCATTCTATACAATCTGTCATATATTTTGCAACAAACTTCGCTTTCTACACGTTATTTTGAAGCCCCCAGGTAAATTACACTTATTAGACCAAAATCCAAAATTTTCCTCTTTTGGACCCGCAAAATATATAAATGAACATAATATTGCTGTCATGCATAGCAATTGCAGCCCTAATCATCACCTTTTGAACATAAAGATTAAAAAAAATTAGTCTCCAATTTGTATAAATTTAACCTGATACAAGATTTACAGCTATATCATACGACATACATAATGTAGTATAGAAAGAATGGTTGTATCAAAGCTGTCATTTCAAGTAAACCTGGGCATGGTTCCGATTGGATTGATTTTTGAGCCCAATCCAAAATCGAAACCGATTTGATCAGTTTGAGTTGACCAAGCAGACCCAATCCAACCTTTGCAACCGAACCGAACCGAAGTTTGGTTAATCGGTTTAGACATTGGTGCGCGAGAAAATTGCCTATCTATTTTGAGTTAAAAAATTTGTTTTTCTATACATATATATTTTTTCTTGCGTAATGCATATCAATAATATATATAATGTAAATGGTAAAGGATCGATTTTCTCAAATCATATACATATACATACATACATATATATATACACACACACACCCACACACAAACACACCAACAAACAATTACACCAAACTTAAAGAAAAAAATGCTATAATCTAAATTTGAAGTTTACATAAAACACTTCTTCTTGTTTTCTTTTCTTTTGATATTTGTAATTTTGGTAGAAAAATATAAACGGTAAACAATTTACTTGAGAAAAAATTATATATATTTTTTATTATTTTGTTTTTTACATTTAAAAAGATGAATTTTAAAATGAAATATATATATATATAAGAAAAATGTATTAGCGGGTTGGTTGCTTAAACCGAAATCAATTCAACTCGACTTTTTAATGGTTAAAAGTAATCGAACCAAGCCATTTTTTTGGATCAAACCAACCCCAAACCGACCCGACTCGATTTAGTTTGATTGATTTAATCGATTTTTCGATTTTTTTCCTCACCCCCTTATTCCAAGTCCAGCTAACCCATTTTTGTCTCATTAGTAATTTAATTTAGGATTATTCTTGTTTACCAGGGCAACATAGGGCCAGCTGCACTCGGGCATAACTAATGTAGTAATACTCTTTTATTTAATATTGTATACGTGGGGGCAGGCCAGATACTTTAGCTAAAAAATTTAGTGAAGGATTCTGTATAGAGGCTGCCCATTCCAATCAGAACCATGCAGCCACGCTAGGTGTACAAACAGATTTGGCAGATGGTGTTAAATGTTGCCAGATGACAACATTTGTTTGATCAAAAAATAATTTTAAAACATTCTGCCCATCTCAGTACCTGTACACTTCCCCGTCAAAGTCGTACAGGAACTTATTCCTTCAAATCATAATATTACGGATACCGAATCAGTCTTCACTCATCGTCACAAGCCTTGTGACTTGAGCGATTAAGAAATATCGTCATTTGATTCCACGAGATATTTCTCACTACTTTATTTAGTTGTGGATTCATTCACATGATAAAATAACTTGGTACAGTGGGTGCCGTGCTTCGAAATGTTCGCATTCGTTGTGTACGAGTGGCATGAGATGGTTGGAAAATAAGGACAAGAAGATATGGATAATAACTAGATTTTGAGGGTGCATGTTTAGCTAAATTGGTCCGAACCACAATATATTATTCCCCATAATATAAAAGTGGAAAGTTCTTAATAAAGTGTACAACCACTCACAACACACCACCAAACTGAACGCATACCTATCTTGCCACGAAAACACGCCACCGTATAAACAGGTAGCATAACAACACCCTACTAATTGAATTGACCGAAATACCCCTCACTCTTCATTGTCATCCAATTCCATCGAGATTAATGAGGTAATTTTGTGGAGGAAAGTTTGACTTGGATGGCTGAAGGCTGGGTGACCCCAAGGACTTTCCTTAGACACTTTATTGGCCAATTCAAGAAGGAATGAGTCAAATGACGCATTTAGCCTTTCAATATATAGGGTTAATTTTGTAATTGGGCAACCTCATAGGATTGACAGGAATACGCATAGTAATGAGGTCCAGCAGGTGGGTAGAAAATTGACCAAAGAAAGAACCAACTAAAATGAGCTAAAATAAAGGTCGGGTTTGATATGTAATATTAATTGAAAGTGTGCGATCTAGCAATGAAAATGGGTGAAATAGTATTTTTTTGAAAAATGAGTGATTGCAAAAAAAGGGAAAATTTTCAATTTACGTTTAATATAAGAGTGATAAAATGAAATGTAATGGAATGAAAATAAAATTAATGGGTCAAACAGGGCACTAATTTATCACCCAAAGACGAGACAAAAACTTGGAAGGGTATTTTGGTCAACAAAATATTCACAGCCTAAAAGCCTAAGCAGTCCAATGGTCGTGTGTACCGGTGATAGACAGCAATGGTCAAGCTAATAACTAAACCTATAAAGCTGAATCTGATTCTCCTAGGCGCGTGGCAGTAAATTTCCAAGGGTAATTCCGTCCATAAACAAATTCCGCAACCATTGGGAACTGACCCGAGACTCTAATGGAGAGAAAAACGAAAAGACACTCCGGTGGCAAAGAACACGCCGTCCGCCGGAAAAGTAACCGGTTGTCGGTATAGATTATGTAATATCTATTGTAATCTGTATCTAAATATATAGAGTATAATATATTTTGTGCTACAAACCTTAGATCTTTCATGGTGAGAGAGTTTGGGAGGAGAATGACTGGATTCGTCACGGCCACCAGAGCCGCCACTGAGAGAGGTGGCACCACCGCTCCATGACAGTGGCGTCGTAGGGCTGGCTCTGGTAGCCGGCTTAACTGTGGCAGGTCTGGACCGGCGTTGACGGACGCTCCACTTAAGCTGCTTAATCTCCCCCGACGGCGGAGGCGGCGGATGTTGAGATTGGTTTAGCCGCATAAGGAGCTCCACCACCATCAAGTCATCAATCATCGCCGTTTTTACCCACTCTTCGTCCTCACTCATATCTCTTGTTTACCGTAATATAGAGACAGTTATACGCAGAGATATATGTAGAAATTTGGGAGAGAAGAAGGAGAAGGAATGGTGGTGGCAAAGGAAAATGTGGAGGAAAAGTATAATAATAAATGTGGTACTATGACATGATATATATATTTATCTGTGTACTTTTGTGATGAGATATTTCTCACTACTTTATTTAGTTGTGGATTCATTCACATGATAAAATAACTTGGTACAGTGGGTGCCGTGCTTCGAAATGTTCGCATTCGTTGTGTACGAGTGGCATGAGATGGTTGGAAAATAAGGACAAGAAGATATGGATAATAACTAGATTTTGAGGGTGCATGTTTAGCTAAATTGGTCCGAACCACAATATATTATTCCCCATAATATAAAAGTGGAAAGTTCTTAATAAAGTGTACAACCACTCACAACACACCACCAAACTGAACGCATACCTATCTTGCCACGAAAACACGCCACCGTATAAACAGGTAGCATAACAACACCCTACTAATTGAATTGACCGAAATACCCCTCACTCTTCACTGTCATCCAATTCCATCGAGATTAATGAGGTAATTTTGTGGAGGAAAGTTTGACTTGGATGGCTGAAGGCTGGGTGACCCCAAGGACTTTCCTTAGACACTTTATTGGCCAATTCAAGAAGGAATGAGTCAAATGACGCATTTAGCCTTTCAATATATAGGGTTAATTTTGTAATTGGGCAACCTCATAGGATTGACAGGAATACGCAGAGTAATGAGGTCCAGCAGGTGGGTAGAAAATTGACCAAAGAAAGAACCAACTAAAATGAGCTAAAATAAAGGTCGGGTTTGATATGTAATATTAATTGAAAGTGTGCGATCTAGCAATGAAAATGGGTGAAATAGTATTTTTTTGAAAAATGAGTGATTGAAAAAGAAGAGAAAATTTTCAATTTACGTTTAATATAAGAGTGATAAAATGAAATGTAATGGAATGGAATGAAAATTAATGGGTCAAACAGGGCACTAATTTATCACCCAAAGACGAGACAAAAACTTGGAAGGGTATTTTGGTCAACAAAATATTCACAGCCTAAAAGCCTAAGCAGTCCAATGGTCGTGTGTACCGGTGATAGACAGCAATGGTCAAGCTAATAACTAAACCTATAAAGCTGAATCTGATTCTCCTAGGCGCGTGGCAGTAAATTTCCAAGGGTAATTCCGTCCATAAACAAATTCCGCAACCATTGGGAACTGACCCGAGACTCTAATGGAGAGAAAAACGAAAAGACACTCCGGTGGCAAAGAACACGCCGTCCGCCGGAAAAGTAACCGGTTGTCGGTATAGATTATGTAATATCTATTGTAATCTGTATCTAAATATATAGAGTATAATATATTTTGTGCTACAAACCTTAGATCTTTCATGGTGAGAGAGTTTGGGAGGAGAATGACTGGATTCGTCACGGCCACCAGAGCCGCCACTGAGAGAGGTGGCACCACCGCTCCATGACAGTGGCGTCGTAGGGCTGGCTCTGGTAGCCGGCTTAACTGTGGCAGGTCTGGACCGGCGTTGACGGACGCTCCACTTAAGCTGCTTAATCTCCCCCGACGGCGGAGGCGGCGGATGTTGAGATTGGTTTAGCCGCATAAGGAGCTCCACCACCATCAAGTCATCAATCATCGCCGTTTTTACCCACTCTTCGTCCTCACTCATATCTCTTGTTTACCGTAATATAGAGACAGTTATACGCAGAGATATATGTAGAAATTTGGGAGAGAAGAAGGAGAAGGAATGGTGGTGGCAAAGGAAAATGTGGAGGAAAAGTATGATAATAAATGTGGTACTATGACATGATATATATATTTATCTGTGTACTTTTGTGATGAGATGCCTGTTCACAACTGCTTCTGGGTGGGGGTGGGGTAATTGTTTTCGAAGGATTGACTCTATATTTCCACCGTATTTATGATTTATTTTAGAGCGCATTTGGTACAGATTAAAATTTAATTTTAATTTAAATCAAAATTAAATAATTAGGCCCCGTTTGATTGCACGAACTTTTTTATTTGGTACAAATTAAAATTTAATTTTAGTCTAAATCAAAGTTAAATAATTAGGCCCTATTTGATTGCACGAAATTTTTCATGGAATTTGGAATTCGAATTCGAATTTTCATTTTTGGCCTGTTTGATTGACAAAATTTTTCAGGGAATTGATTTTCCATGAATTTCTAGCCACAACATCTTAAAGCATGATTTTCCACCTTTTATTTTCCTAGGGGTAGGTGGTTTTTGATTTTCCACTTTTTTTTTTATTGTTGGCAATGAGAACAAATTTTAGGAACAATTGTAAAGGAAGATATCTCTGAAATTGACAATTTTCATGTAAAATAAAGTCAAACGAACACCAAAATATAGATGATTTTTTGATTTTTTTTCCGTTTTTTTTGTTGGCAATGAAAACAAATTCTAGGAACAATGGTAGAAGTAAATATCCTTTAAATTGACAATTTTCATATAAAACAAAGCCAAACAAACACCAAAAACACTTTTACTTCAACATTTTTCACGTGAAAAAGTATATCAATCAAACACAATAATTTACAATTCTCAGAAAAACAATTTCTATGTAATTCAATTCCCTAGAATTCATTTTCTTTTCACCCAAGTTTCATCTTAGCAATCAAGCAGACCGTTAATATTAATCATATTTTCCATGGATTTCACAACTGTTCAATCATACATTTCAAAATTTTTTATCACAATCTACTAAAAAATCTAATTTTAATCTCTACCAAATACCCTCTAAGACTGGACATAATTTTGAATCGGCCTGTCTCAAAATGGATCCAAATCAAATGGAGTGATTAGTTCGATTTTTCTAGGTTAAGTTGATTGACGTATATTATAATTGAAAACCAATGAATTTGATTTAATTCTCAATTTTAGATGAAGAATCAAAAAATCGAACCTCTTAATTTTTTTACATCACAAATTTACTATAATGGGTATAACTTGATCTATGGATGGTGAACCCCATGATTTCAAATCTATGAAATAGTTAACATCCTCCTTTGGAATTATCCCAAGATTTTAAATATACGGTTCTAAGCAATTTTTCAAAATAAGGGTACAAACTTAAAAAATCAAATAAATAATGGCAGTATTCAAAAATTAGTTTCATCTAAATAAAATTATTTCGATTATGTATAATTCATCGAAAGGAGTACTATAATACTAGAAAAAATATTTTTTTATTACTTTTAGTTAATATTTCATTTTTCATTTTTTCTGCTAATTTGAAGGCTTAAGCGAGGGAATCAATGGGATGGAAATGAAATTTGTATGTGCTTATCTTTTTATTTGAATACATTGGTGAACGAATTGTATTAGACAGCTTGTTATTTATTTTTATTTGGACTATACTTGTAATTTTGTAAGAACTAAGGTGAAGCCTGTCATTTTTCTGTTAGATTTATGTTGTGTTGTTTTAAGCATTGAAGATTTTTGTTATGGTACATGACCAAAATAGACCGTTTGATTTTGGTTCGTTTATATGAATAAATTTAGACATGGTTCCATTTATTAGATAATCAATAATTCTTAGTTCAATTCAGTTCGATTTGATTCTCTTTGAAATGAGACTGAGCCAAATTGAATCATGTCCATATCTAATTTATTCTAACTAGACAAATACCTTTATCCTTATACACCAGATTATGGATGATGAAATGTCTTGCTTCCATTCGCCTCGTGTTGTCCTTTCTTGACCTTGGTTAATCAACCAATTCGAAACATGGTTCTTGCCTTAACTCATCCAATTTTTTTCACTTTATTTTTATTAATATGTTTTTACAAAATTAATAAATAGAGAAACAAGATAAAAATAAAAATATTTTAATCCCGATTCCAATTTGCCTCCAAAAAAATCCATGTCTAGGTAGAGGATGAAGAGAGTTGTATCAATACAGCTAACAAATATCCCACTCTCGTCCTGCCTTCCATTTTCCTAGCATGTCGGGGAATCGCAACCGATACGAAGAATATGGTCTCCATCCCAAATCTTAGTTAACATTTTTTTATTTTTAAATTTATCCCCTGAAAATCTTGATCGACTTGTGGGATGTAGGTTATCTTGCTCCGACCCATTCTTCACTCTTACCCTTACCCTCACCTTGTTATCATCCCCAAGGTCTAATTGATTACGATTCCTAACACAAGTAACATCTCAAACATGATGAATTCATTTTATTTTAGCCAAAACATATAGTATTGAACAAGGGAAATGCTACATGTATATAATTGTCTACATAATGGTGTCCATAATTATACGTGACATTGGATCTAATCTTTAATTCAAATTTGCACATCAATAACCAGATAATTGTCACATCACATTATGGACACCATTATGTGCAATAATTATATACAAGTAAAATTTCCCATTGGACAATGTATGTAGGGATTCATTTAAAGAGATATCGCATTGATCGATAGCTTTAATTAATATATTCTATTTAATATTGAGCATTGAATTTCCTGCTGAGTGTAATTGAAGTAGTAGAGGTATGTATACCATATTTATGGCTATCTCCCCTGAATAGTTTAGATTACATCTATGTGTAAGATTGCTAAAGAAGGTTGAGATATTTTAGAAACCATACATGAGAGAACAATATCGTGAAAAACTCCAAGCTACAAATATTGACCATTAGGTTTGAAGAAATTAGGATGAAAGATGGTGAATTCTTTAATGAATTCTATGTTAATCTAAATGATATTCTGAATTCTAGTTTCAACCTAGGTGAGCAAATATCCGAGGCTAAGATTTTCAGAAAAGTAATGAGATCCCAACCTGAAAGATTTAGACCTAAAGTTATTACTATTGAAAAAAGCAGGGACGTAAATGCAATTAAAATTGAAAAACTCGTAGGATCTCTCCAAACATATGAACTCATCCCACCCCAATTAAAAAAAAAAAAAAAACAAAGTTTTTAGCCCTAAACACTTTTAAGGAAGAGATTAACGGTGACACCCTAAAGGTTGAGGAGATAACTTGAGGAAATTCTTTAGGAATAGTAAGAGGTCTTCTAAGAGATATAAGGATGACTCTACTAAATCTAGGAAAGATAAAAGAAAGTGATGCCAGAGATGTTTGGAAGAGGTTTGGAAGTTGTCATTAGTGTCGGGTTTTTGGGCATAATGCTACTCCCACTGATAACGAGAGTAACTTCGACAATCAAAGTGAGAACTCCAATCTTGATGAGGAAGGGAATTATACACCTTTTGCTTATGCGATTAATAGTGAAACTGTAGAGGAAAGTGAGACACTTTGAGGACATAGAACAATCTGATTCTTCAAATGAAGAATTATGAGATCATTAGAATATACAAAAGGCCTATAACCAGGTGTATGTAGAGAGCTTTCGGTTGAAGAAGGTTAATACCTCCATCTTTAAGAAATTACATGAACTAGATTTAGAAAATGAGAGCCTACAAGTCAAACGTGAGGAGTTGGCTAATAGATTGAACGAGTTGAGGGTTGAAAAAGAATCCTAAGAAATTAATGATAAGACTCTTAAGAGTGATATTGAGCAATCTAATGCTCAACTTCAATCTATTTTCTAGTGGCTCTAAGAAGCTTGACAACATGTTAGATTTGAATAAACCAACTGGGCATAGGAAAGGTTTAGGTTTTAATAAAACAAATTCTCATAGTGTTTCCTCTTCGAAAACAAGGTTGTATCTGCCTCTATCAAGTCTACGAATGTAGGAGCTTTAGGACAAAAACTAACTGTGCAACATAGGATTCCTTAACCTAGGTTCAAAACTTTAGACCTAGAACTACTCCTAAATTCGTTCCTACTTATCATAATTTTGGTGAGTTAGGTCACATTAGACCTAGATGTTGTAAGTCCTTGATTAGGAAAAAAACAAGATCTTAGGACTCAAATTAGATTCTTGACTGTTCAAGAAAGTCACTTGACCAATATAATCACTCAATTGTCTAAGATTACATTTTCTTCTTAGAAGATTTAGGTCAAAAAGAGTGAACTATCTAATCAAATTGATGCTGTAAATTATGGCATTGCTCATGTTGGCTTTCATAATAAGAGCACTTGTATTCCTCATTGAGTAGGTCTATATGTCATCCATCTACAAGTACATGATTTCTACATAATCGTGAATGCACTCTATTTTTTTTCCTTATCTTTCTATCTTTTTTTTTTTGCACTATTCCTTTTAAAAGCAAAAAATTAAAACTAAAAACATTATTAAAAAAATTAAAAAAGGAAACAGGGTTTTTGATTATTAGAGCACTTTAAAGTAATTTCCATGGATTTGTTATCTTGTGATCAAGTAATAGTAAAATTAATGAATGGTAAATAAAGTTTCCATTAAATTATTTGGAATACTTAGTATATGTTTCTTCATGTATAATTTATACCGCCCATATTAAACTCTTGTGAGTGAGTCTTAGCCGTATAAATGAGAATTGGGAAGATGGTCATCAATATGGTAAGATAACCTTGAATATGAATTGACTTTTAACTAATTGATCTAAACTCTTGTATATTTCCCAAGAAGAAAAAAAGATTTGAATTATCGTAAAAAAATTGTGAGAAGTCTTGTACTTTTCTCTTTAACCTTCATGACTTGAGTAATTAAACGTGTTTGATATCTTAGAACCTGGTGCCCTATAGATATCAAACTTGGAAGTTATTAGCTTAAAGCACATTACAGGGATCATTTTAGAAAACCTGATAAAAAAAAAGGCTACACTTAAGATCTAAAAAATAAGAGAGGAAAAAATATGTGCGCGTGCATGAGCACTCCTGCAGAT